TATTGCTAGTATTAATGATCCCTTGAGTTCGGAATGGAACATAGGGCTTCAAAAAAAAACATCTCCACTTTTTCCTATTCTCTGTGTGGCCCCATTTAACTGACCTCAAGATTTCCTGTAATCTCAAATCTTCCCCTTACACGATATCCCTCATGACATCCTAAGACGTTGGCTCAACTCATCGTTTTCCACCAACCTTTTAGTCGAGCGATGGCCTACTGTGTGATGTTACCCAACGATCTTCTCAGAGTGTAACCAACCAATCTCCATTTTTTTTCCGAATATTTGTTGACAGACACGTTGTTGATTGGTTTGCAGCCTATCAGGGTTTCTTGTTGCTAATTCTTTCTGGTCTTCAGCATGGAGCCGGCGAAGTGGAGAGCTGTTGGTAGACATCTGCAGTAGCCTGTTTTTGAAATGCTTTGCCAGACACCGGAGCCAAGTTTCTGACTTGTATACAAAAACTGACCAACTTAACATTGGTGTTGAAAATGTGAATTTCTTTTCTGATGCTGAGTGGGGCATATATACAGGCTGATTTCAGAATAATATAGGTGTATCTTGTCTATCCAGTCCTTATTTGTTTTGACGTCTTCAGGCGTGGCAACTGGCTGTATTTGAAACGATGCTGCTTTCTAGATAAGTCTAGGAAGTGACCTCCTTCAAATTTCTTTTCTGGCGTTGATAGTCAATGATGCTTGTTGTTATGGGTAGTGGTGTTTGGTTATTTTCATCAACTCCGTCTTCTGTACGTTTACTTGAAGTCCTATCCTCAGTGATAGCCAGCCTCTTTTACCAACTTAGCAGTTTTCGCCTGTACGTATTCGGATTTCTGTGATACTGTACATAAATCGTCCGTGATGTTCAGTCTTCTATAGTCTTCATATCGGCCAGACACACTCCTGTCTTCCCAAACCTCATATTCTGTTACATAACGCAATTCACCGAAATTAGGAATACCGTCAGCACTAGCGGACAGGTCACCTTCTAATAATAATAACAACTTTATTCCAAACAGTATTTGTGGTACAGGTATGGAATTTTCAGCGTGCATTACAATAGATTGCATCTAATTACCTCATACATTTTATAAGATTTTAAAATAAAAAGCAACACCCGAAATAAAGATAAATAAAACTAAAAAGAAAACAGCGTTGCGTTTACATTTTAAACAATGCACCACAGGATATGAAATATAAAATTGGTGTATAATAGAAGATAAGAACAACAGTGTAATAGTAACAAGGAAAGGAAAACAAAAACTAATGGGACTATTTGTTAGAATGCCGCAGTAAGTTGATCGTGTCATACCTAGCAGATTTCTCATCACATAACAGCTGTGCCAGATATGGTATTGTGGAGTTTTTTGTACTTGGTAGTCCTAGCATATAGCCGCTTACAGCTGCTTCTAGTGCTACCAGATGAAATGCAATCCTGTCTTCACTTCAGTAGCTTTTTCTGTTGTGAATTATTCGACATGTGGTGTTGTCATTTAGCTGCTGAATGGGGCTGATATGAATTTTTGGTAGTGCACTGCATAGTGATGAAGTAGTTTCCGAATTACTTTACGGTCAACTCCGTCGAAGGCGTTTTCAAGTCGGACGACCTTGAGGCAGAGAATTGACTACTATTCTATGCTCTGTTCGATGATGATGCGTAGATTAGTCAATAACTGACAGTTAATATTATAAATAACGTTGTATATACTGCACACATTTTGGATAGATTTTATTGTGCATGCATTGACGTCGACTATGTAATAAATGAAGACTTAGAGATCTGTTATAAAGGTTTTGACTCCTTTTGCCTGGTATGGCAGTACAAATTCATCACCGTCGAAAAACTTGAGACTTTAACTGTCAGATTCCAAGATATTAAGCTCATAATCCATTCAGTGAATCGTATAACTATGGCTGAATTTTCTGTTCCACTCTCTTTGACTTGTTATGACTACGAACCTAATGTCATCACTTAGCAACTGTTTTCCAACCAACTTAGTGGATTTCAAGAATAACTTCTCTCTAAATGATGTGAACTGGAGTTTATTGATCTGGCTTCATAATGACGAAGAATTACAGTGAAATACTGAATGAGTGTAAAGAAGATGAATGGAACAGAAACACACCAGTAAGAATGAATTACGGAAATTAAATATCTTCACGTCATTCCATCTGCTGATCTTTCCTCGTCGTCTCATGTCTTGATGATTTCTAAGATAATATTCCGTCTTACCTGCTACATCAAGAAGTTAAGACATTCCGGAATAAACTACCCAGCCCTTACTCCTACGATTTGTTAAATCTTGCATCCTGCCTAATATCCTCTATTGTTCCTCCTTAGTTTATCCTGGGCTACTGAAGAAGGACTATATCTTATTACGTAGGATGTCAAAGGTTGTCAGCAGGGTAAGCAACGTGCCACTTAACCAGCTTGTTAATATTCTGGTCGACAGGCACATGGACTCATGTGAGAAATGGGCTGAATCAATCCATTTTATCTAAGTCACACCACCCTCTTCATTCACAACTCTCTCCTTGTATCTCATCAGTCAGAACCAGAAGCCTATATAGAAAACTAGATGCTCCCACTAGCAAGTACAAAAACCCCAACTCATCCATACCCTACTTAGCTCGTGTTCTGTGTGATAAAGAAAGCATTAGGCGTGAAACCTATAAATTATTAAATAGTCAGTAGAACAACTGGATCTCGTCTTTCCAACTCATATCATTTATAGGTACAACGTTTTCTTCCTTTCTTTTCCTTTTCTCCCTATGCCTTTTTTGTTATGTGCTGCTATGCTTGGCTTTGCTACCAATATGCTAATATGTTGTTATCAAAACTAACTGAGATTACCCATAATCTATGCAGGATTTTATTTATTGCTAATGTACTAACTGGATGCAATATTGTAGTAAAATGCTGTATCACAAGTAGTGTTTTGAAATAAAGCAAATTATTATTTAATTTGACATACCGAAGGACAATACAACTTTATCTGTTATTTTACAGAATAAAAATGGTGAGGTATTATCTTATAACATAATTTTTAAAGAGCCTAGAAAACTTTAACAGCAGAACATTTGCTTCACTACATTGCGGCAAACATAACAATGTTTAACTTCACAGATTCCTATTAGTCCTTCTATGGTTTGCCTATTTTCAGATTAGCCTCAAATAAAAGTGTGTAGCCTAAACACTAATGATTAATTGAAATTATAATCTGACAGAGCTAGAAATATACAATTAAAGTATCAAATACAGTCCCCCCAGAAGGTCAATCGTCAGCCCGGATAGCTCGTAGGTAGTGTCTCGAGCTGCAGCGCTGGGTGGCACGTGTTTAAACCTCGGTGGGGGAAGGGATACCGAGCTTGTTCACGATTACAGATACGCCTTGCTGACTGGTGAATGCCAACAAGCACGAAACACACCTAAGTTAGGCTGAGATACCTTCCGATTGCCTTCAACCACCTCATAACAGACCCAGAACTGTCTCTAAAAAATGAAGGATCACTGAACACAATCACAGACTCACTCTCTAACACACACACACACGTGTACACACAGTTGATTTTATACAGAATAGTAAATCAAATGTTTCACATTTAGTAATTTTAGTAATGTATAAACAGTAAAACAGTTGGGTAGTTTATTAGGTAGTATAGTTACCTTTTGATTGCTAGAACATGGAACTTACAAAGCGATGTCATTGTTTTCACGGCGTCATGTGACTAGCTAGCTCTACGCTCAGCCTTTTATCTTATCCCAGCCTATTGCCGGGCTAGTAAATCAGGCAAGACTAATAAGTGCGTTGTCCGGGAATCGAACCCATGCTATTCTGGCATAGAACCTCCAACCCATCTACCAATCAGTGTAGATAGATAGGATTTTCAGTGGATTTTGGATTAATTTCGATTGTTAGATTTCGTCACAGAGTAACAGTAGTTATAGAGATCATTGAAGACGAACTGGGAGCAGTGAACAGCTGTTTCGTCCTATTTCGGAACATCACAGCAGTACATAACCACGACCCCACTACCACAGATAGGACAAGGGACCTTTAGGTTACAACCACTTGTGCCAGACTTCAATGAATCCTGAATTGTTACTTTGTCAACTCGTGATATATTGCTGCCTTCACCAATGCCATCAATGAGCAACCTTCACTTCACCTTGACATACTGGAGCCCACTGGTCACGACTCCCCACGGCTCTCTGGTTTTCATTGATTTCTCTAAATGATGCTGATTCGTAAAGAAAATCTAACAATTGAAATTTATCTCAAAGCCCCCATAAATCTTATCTGAATATTGGTTGCCAGCGCACTGATGGCTACTGGGTTAATTTTCTGAAGTTGCAGCTGGACATTGTAGTCGACAACGTGATCCGTCATGTCAACGTGAAGTGGAGGATTTCCATCAAAGGCATTAGGCGGAGTATCATTACACTACTGGATTCCAGCCCAGGTCAATGAATAGTCAACGAGCTTGTTCTGGTAACCTGAAGGTTTTGTGTCCGCTTCCTGATTGTGGTGAAGTTGCGAGTGCTCACTGATGAAGAGTCTTCAAATAGGTGTGACGAATATCTAACAATTGAAATTTGTCAAAACTTTATCTACGGCTTTCTATTACTGGTCTTTTTAATTTCGTATAACATCCAGTCGGAGCTTTTAATTTAACTGTCTCATATTAGTATTACCAAAAGTCTTATGCCTCTTTGTTTGTTTAAACAGAGATGGACTTCACTATTAGTGTTTTAAGCAACAGACATACTGAATGTATTTTAGGATGGTAAACTAGGCGCTTAAGATAAATACATTGCAACAGTACAATTTAATTTTCAATTTGTCTTTTTTTCTATACTTTCCTCTACTTCATAAGAAAGTGTTCGAATAATTCACTTCAATGTCTCATCCAGTTCAACGTCGATTATAAGATCAAGGTGTCAGCTTTAAAGTGTTATTACGTGCATATAAATATATATACAACTGAAAGTATCACACAATGTCTGAGATAAAAGTTTGTTCAAAATGTAAACAGTGTATTAAAGAAAGCCATTTTTTACTGGCCGATTGTCAATACTGGCATGAAGATTGTCTACGTTGTGTTTGTTGTGATGCAAGATTAGCAGAATTAGACAAAATATTCTATATCAAAGCAAGGATGTCATTATGTCGACGAGACTATCTAAGGTGAGTCCAAGTGGTCGTCGTATACACAATTGTCTTAAAAAACACTTTTTTCGTTTCAAGATTCTGATCACTTATAGATATTAGTTGGAGAAGCATTGAAAAACCAGCAAGGAGTAACGGACAGCTGTTCTGGCCTAGTTCGAGACCCACAGGAAGTATGTACCTACCACCAGGGTTCGAACCCAGGATACTCTGGTTACAAGGTTTATGGTCTTGCCTTTTATATTCCCTTGGGTTCCTAGTGGAACATAGGGCTTCAACTGCACGTATCCACTTGCCACTTCTGTCTTCCTTCACCTGTACTTTTCACCTGCATCCATGTTAGTCCATACTGTTTCAACCGACTCCTCTTCACACAATCTCCTCCATGTCACTCACCCTTGCACTGACGATCCACTCGCCGCTTCCCTTTCGGTCTGGTTCCACTCAAGCAATGGCCTGACGCGCGCGCGATGTCACCCAGTGGTCTCCTCAGCCAGCGAGTGTCCAATCCATCACCACTTTCTCCTGCATATTTGTTAGGCTACTGGTTTGTTCTTGTTTTGTTTGTTACCATACTTTCTTGTTGGTGATTCTTTCCGGCCAGGCCCGACCATCTGATCTTCGGTACAGATCCAGCGAAGACAGTTGTTGGTTTGTGAAGGTCTGCAATGGCCTGTTGGTTGGAAATATTCTCTGTGACCCGCCTGCCAAGTATAGAAGAACTGACTGACTTGACGTTGTGTGTATTGAAAATATGACCGAATTTTGTTGTTGATGCTGGCTGAGTGACGAAAATTTCCAGATTGGTTTGTTTCAGGTTGATGAGTGTGTTTCTCGTTGGCCTTCCCGATTCTCAATCGATTTGACATCCTCGTCCGTTCCGACTGCCTGTAGTTGAGACAATGCTCAATGTTAGATAAGTGAGTGAATGAAGTAACCTCTTTCAAATCCCTTCCGTTGGTGGTGATTGGCGCTGTATGTTGCTGCTGATATTGTTGTTGTTGTTGGTTGATTATTTCCATAACCTCCGTCTTGTCTGTATTCACTTGGAGTCCTGTCTTTCCTGCTTCTTCAACCAGTTTGTCGGTTTTTGCTTGTAATTCTTCGATTTTGTGTGACATCAAACATAAATCATCCACGCGCGAAATCCAGGTCTTTTAGAGTCTCCTTATGTGTGGTCCAGCGTAATCCTCTCCTCTCAATCCCTGTACACAGTCTGACGCATAATCCAGTCAGTTCACCACAATTAGGAATATCATTGGTGATAATAAGCACCCTTGTCTGACTCCTGTGTTTACTCCAAACGCCTCGCTGAGTTTTCCGTCATGGATCACTTGACATGTTCCGTCGTCGTACAGCTGTTGTATAGGGTTGATGAATATTTGGGGTACGCTGTAGCACTCGAGTAGTTTCCAAATTGCTTCGCGGTCAACGCTTTCGAAGGCCTTCTCGAAGTCTATAAAGTTGAGGAATAGGTTTGATTGCTATTCCATGCTTTGTTCTGTGATGATGATGCGTAGAGTTGTAATTTGGTGAGAACATGATTTGCCTTTCCTGAATCCAGCTTGTTGTGGTCGGAGGTCTGTCTCCAGTGCGTCTTTTATTCTCTCCAGGATGATGCGACTCAGGATTTTACTTGGCATATCGGCTGACTGGCTTCCCGAAGGCTTTCGCCAGCCTGCGCCATTTCACTTCCCCGATTCCAGCGAAAAATAAGGTTACTGCTTATATTCTTAGTATTTTTAATATATTTATGCGTTGAAGTTTCTGTAGCAATTTGGTTAAGTTTTGGGGGTGGAGATGGTGGCACCACACCTCAACCCTTCCTCTTTATCCGAGCTTGAGACCGGCTAGAAAACTAGCGAGCTAGTAATCTAGGCGGAGTTTCTTGCTTTTTAACCTCGAAACAAATCAATAACTAAAAATTAAGTCTTATAAAAGCAAACATAAAGAACAGTGACTACGGCGCAAGAACACATCAATATCTTTCAGGTGACCAATAAGAAAAAAACGATGTATTATGCACACAAAAAAGGCGTTCGTTCACAAGGAAAATACACAGTAATAATGAAATAGATTAAGGAGGATATTTTACGCAGAGATAATAACTATAAAACACATTCCAATTACAGTCAGACGGATCAGCTGTCTAGTTTATTATCTATCAAGACGATTTCATTTAAATGAGCTACGTCCCAATCTGTCCTCATTTATTTATTAACAGGAAAAATACAGATAATGATAATATATTAAATATTCCCATAGTAAAATTTAGAACAACACATTTAGGCGAACAATATTGTGCTTTCAATTAGATCTCATCAGGCTTAACTCTAATATATATATAATTTTATAAATAAAATACAAATATAAACCAATCATCGTGTTTTGTCTATAGGATAATACGATGGTGAATATAAATTGTGCAATTAGTCATAACAGTAGTAATGATAATATTAATAATAGTAATAATAATAATGATCTTGTCAATAATAAGGATGAAAAAGTGAGGCAACCTGTGATAACACGAATAATGAAAAACAGAATGATTAAACAAACAATTGTTCAGGTGGAAGTAGTCGATAAAGTCCAGTAAAAACAAATGAACCGATTAATTAATGCTAGATTGTAAGGGAAGTAAATGAGACACGTTTATAATGAAGATGTGATAAGATTAAGGGATGATAAGAAAGGGGTTAACAATATAAACAAGGGATGGTGTAGAAGTCATCAGTTGGTTATGTCTTAATAGGCCAACAAGGGAGGGATAATGGCTGTACAAACTTCTTCTGAACACATAGTTTAGGTTTAATAGTTCGAATGCCTATCACCTCAGCTGTGTGCCGTAGACGAAAACGAAGTCTATTAGAAAAATTCGGTGGGATACGATGAATTACGTTGAAGGATCTCGTTTTCTCCACTACATGACCACTATCAATCAAATGTGACGAAATTGAGCTACGGATTGTTTTCACCTCTCCTTTGCCAAACCACGATGGCAGATATTCAGTAGTGACACGTTGGCTAAGCTGTCTAGTAGTACGCCCAACATAACTGTCTCCACAGATGCAGTTGAATTGATAAATACACATAAATGTGGCAAAACTATCAAGTTCATCCTTCGTTTGCGTCCCAATCATTCGTCGGCTAGAGAATTACAAACACAGGTGTGCTGCGTAAAATGTTCTTCGTATACTCCTGGAAAGTTTCTGGAATAAAATCTCACTTGATAAGTCACCATTAAATTGCAGACTAATAAATAGAGATTTCTTACGTGCAGTCAGAGTCTCAGGTTTTCTCTCTGATGTTTTCATATGTTTCTTTATGAAACTACCCAGATAGCCCATCTGCGTCAAGGAATCGTGAATATATTCAAATTCCTTTTGTAAGAGGTCATCCGTACATATCTTTCTTGCTCTGCTGGCAAGACATTTAACAACATTCCTTTTATATTTCATGGGCACGTAATTAAGGAAGTGTGTGTACTGCCCTGTGAATGTGCTTTTTCTGTACACACTTCTCCCAAGTGACCCATCTTCTCTCCTACTTAGCAAGACATCCAGGAAATGTAGTTTATTCTCCTGCTCCTCTTCACAAGTAAAGGTAAGCGAAGGGTGGATGTTGTTGAGTTTCAGCAACAATTCGTCTATGTTAACATTCTCATCAGCTAAGACAAATGTATCATCGAAATATCGGTAATACATATCCAACTCCTTGATGGTATCCTTCCATTTCCCGTTTTCAAGTTTTGTGAGAAAGAAGTCAGCTAATATTGGGCCTAATGGTGAACCCATAGCTATTCCATCTACTTGTCGATAGTATGAATTATTGAAGACGAAGTGAACATTCATTGTGCATTTAAGAAGTAATTCTTTGAGGCTACACATGATAATACAACACCGTAATTCCGATTCAAACTCTAATCCTAAGCAAAATCCCAACCTTATTTGAGCCCCTAACTTAACGAGATTGGTATGAATTTTCAAGTACTGGTTTTGTGCGGATTGTATTTGATTGGTTAGAGGGTTCCAATCATGAGCTGACATCAGTAAGAGAACCATTGAAAAACCAGCAGGGGGCTGTTTCGCCATCCTAATTTGAGACTCTTCAATAGTACGCACCCACTGCCAGGGTTCGAAACTGTGATCTTCTGGTTACAAGGCGAGATCGTAGACCAAAAAGCCGCTGAGATCTGAACCAATGGCCAGCTCATGAATTCTAACCTCTACCAAATCATGACTTAGCGCGACCACTTCACAATGTCTTCTTCTTCTCCGATGATTTACTACCTCATGTGAGCATCAGACTAATCTTTAGGTGTTGGTTTTGATTAGGGAATTTTGTTTGATTGGTCGGAAGATTTCATCACGAGCTGATATCAGATAGGTATGAAGTTTACACCTCACTACGAGCACGGTGTTCACAATGCAACTTAATTGATGGGAGGTTCTGTAATCCAACAATCCATATACGTTCAGGGCCACTGATGGGTTTTCACTTCATGGTCACTATTCTTTAACTTGGCTATTATGTCTGTGTAATAATAGTACTGATAAAAATAATAATTTGCTTTATTGCGAAAAAAGTACTTATGACGCAGTGTGGAATTCTCAGCATTTGATACAATATTGCATCTAATTTACTCGGCAATAGGAAAAGCAAAAATAAAATTACAGGGTATACGTAACTGGGACTAGTAATAACATCTTTTTAGTATCAGCAATAAAGATAAAGTCAAAAATGTACAAAACGTGTAAAATAATGTTAATGGCTAAAATTATAAGTTTATTGAAATAGTGTAGCCATAGATAACAAGTGGGTTAAAATAAAAGAGACAATTATTATTATGCTAATAACATAGTAATTCGTAGATTCCAGGCTTAACAATATCTTTATCGCATTGGAGGTGGGTTAAATATGCTGTTTTTGTGTTTCTGTACTCAGTTGTGCGAGTATACAGTCCTTTATAATTACTTCTAGTCCAACCATTTGAGCTGGAAGCGAAGAGTTGAGAAAGG